CAGTGTGTTGAAGAGGTACAGTGTGTTGAAGAGGTACAGTGTGTTGATGATTCATGATGTCCCTCAGTGAGTTCCAGTGGTTCTCCATCCCTGTGTCACTGCATGTTCTGCCTGGGCTGGGCTTGTTTAGTCTACAGGAGGCTGGATCAGCTTCATCCCAGCCCCATCTCTGTCAGGCTGGTATCAGGAGAATGGAGCCAGGCTTTTCACAGGGTACCTGGTGGGAGAACAGCACACGAGGGGCTTAAATGGGAACAGAAGGGATTTGGGTTGGACACGGGAGAGCTGCAGGGAGCTGCCCTCTGCACGAGGGTGGTCAGGCAGTGGAACAGGTTTGTCTGCTTTGAGCTGGAGGAGGTCCCTTACAACCTGCATTATTCTGTGATAATTTGCATAGCTTCTCCTGTTGGGTGTGTATCCTCTTCTAAAGGGGTGATCTGCTATCAAGTGTTGGTGGAGTTGAATAGGTGACCTGCTTGAGAGATTAACTGGTTCTGTGATGCTGGTCCCGTTGTTGTTCCTAGAAAGTGCACACTGGAGACACTCCTGTCTTTGCAAGTTTTAGCAGCAATAGAAAAGAGACTGAAGGAAAAATAGTCTAATGCTGTTAGCTGTTTTAGTTTTTTTACCACAGTCTAAACACTGCTCACTCCTTAATCTGAGCAGCCTAAAATACCTGCGTGGTAGAAAAATTGCAAGAGTATCAGGAACTGAAACAACTGAGAGCCTTGTCCTTATTTACTCCTGTTAATCAGTAGTGAAGGGTGCAGCAACTGATGATCTGAACCCCGTTTGTTGTGAATTCCCATGTACTCCTGGACCAGCAGCACCTGTTTAAAGGCTGTGTTTGTGCTCTCTCATTACACTGATTCTCAGATCTTCCAGAAAACAAGCTTAACTTCGGTGGAGTGGTGTGTAGGGCCAGCTTTAATATCCAGGGAGCATGGTTTATTTATGCTGGGATTACCTGCAAAATAAATATAGTCATAACTGAATAATAGAAGGCAATTTGCTCTACTAACACATTAGAATGTATTGGTTTGAGGTTTTTCCTCTTTAAATTCAGTGGTTTTTTCCTTGATGTGTGGCAGACTAGAAAGACTTTATTGACTTTATCTGCCTGTGATGGTTGTTCATCGATTCTTTGAATACAACCTGCTTTTTAAATGTGGCAACCCCTGGCAGACCACCTGTGTTTTATTTAGCAGTTTATATTTTACTATTGCACACACTAGTTTTTGTTGACTCTTTCAGCAAACAGTAGCATTCTTTAAGAAGTGCAGGCTTGCCATGCTCCAATTCAGAATGAGTTAATTTTTTTTAACTGATAGGAGCAAGCTTACATATGTCCAGGTCTGATAATGCATTAAAGCATAACTGCTGGTTGAAGCAATTTTTTGTTCTTTCTCCATATTGCAGGGATGTGGCAGTAACCCACCTCCTCCAAATGTCACTGGTGCTTATGTGTTTCAGAGAGGGCAGTCTGTCTGTTGGCAGGTGACCACTGTTTCCAAGTAAAAAAGTGCTTTTCTTTAAGTTGCACTTCTGGTGTTGCCACTTCAACGGAAAGATGGACTTTGTGCTGCAGCAAACTGGCAGAGAATCATCTGTGGATTGTCTCATGGTTTCTTGCTTGTGAAGGAAGCAATAGGAAGAGGTTTTATCCAGAGGTTTTATCCAAACCTGTGGCAGCAATGGGTCTCCTAAGGACTGTGCTCCCCTCAGGAGTTATGGGCAGTGTTGATGTGCTCCTGCTAATCTTTTACACTCAGAGCTAAGGCAGGAAGAGGGATGAGTGTAGACAGGAACACTGAAGCTGGGGCAGGCAGTGGAAAAGATGCTGTATTTTTGGACTTTGTGGACAGAAAATCTGCTACCCAAGGCCAGTGTAACCCTGGTTTTATTCCAGGTCACTCGTGGCCCTTGTGAAGGCTCTGTTCCCTTCTAGGCTTCCTCTGTCTCATACCCTGATGCATTTTCCTCCTTGGTGCTGCTCTTTGCTGGGTCCTGCAGCTTCACCTGGTATTGGTGCCATCTGCCCCGTGCCAGAGCAGATACTTGGGATGTGATACCTTGTAGGATGGGATTTGTAGGAATCATGGCAAGAGGTGAGTAGAGGGATGGAGCTTACACTTGATATGTCAGTGGGTGGCCTGGCAAAGGTATTGGAAAATTTGATTTAGGTGTCACTGTGCAAAAGTCCCCTGTGGAGCAGCAGTCCCAGTTCTGCAGTGTCAGCAGGTACCTGTTGAAGACAAGAGTTGCTGGGAGCTGCAGCTTTTGTGCACTGTACTGGATTTCAGCTTCATCACTGACTGCTGGGTGTTTTTTGGGGTGGGGGTAAACTCTCCAGTATGAGCAGATTCCAAGAAATCGAGTGAATAATGTGAGTTAAAGTATTGCACTCTTGTGTTGGTAGCTCAGCTTTCCTGCCCTGCTTTTGTGAAGAAGCTGTTAATCAAATGGACTGTGATGTTCTTAAGTGGATGCGAGGAGGGAGGTTTGGTTTGAAGTGACAAAGGCAAGAAAATTAGTTGACTTAAGCAAATTATCTCCTTTTCCATGGGGAATTAAGGTGGAATATCTTACACATACACAGTAGTAGCTTTCAGCAGGTGCCTTTAAAAGAACAGGTGTGCCACATCTTACATGCTTGCTAGGTTATTGCAACTTCTTCTGTCTGGCTTTGTATTACCTGAATATTCTTGTCTCTGTAACCAAACTTTGAGTGAACCATGGACAGATTTAGCTGGATGGCTCTGAAGGAATTCTGTGTTGTCCTGGTGTTTGACAACATCAGAACACGTGCAGTCCTCCTAGCTTTGCAACAGATCTTAAAAGCCTTTTATATTACATTTATCTCATTAAAACATTGTACTGATAAGTGTGTCAATACAATCTTGCATGGGTTGTGTCTCACTGAAGGGGACTGGGCTTGATGACACAGATCATTCCCATCTTGTTCTTTCTTTAGGTACATCTCTAAGCTTCTTAGACCTGTAACGACAGGCAGAAAACACAAGACAGTGTGGAGGAAAAGGTGACGAATCAGAAGAGGAAAATAAAAAACCTTTCCAGGGAGAGAGAGTGTTCAGCAAAACCATGTATGAATGGCACAGGAAAGAGTAAGGTTGTAACAAACAAACAGAAAAAAAACTTAGTCAAAGATCGATAATTTCAGCCACATTTTTTAGCTTGTTCTCATTTCTGACAAAATCAACATTATAACTGGTCCAATTTATGCTGGTTTTTTATTTATTTAATAGAATATTACCTATCAAAATACAGATACGTTTTTAGGAGGAGATAGCAAGCTGGCATACTAATCTTTGGATTTAGACACCGTAGTTCTACTTTCCATATTTAAAATACAAATTCCTTCATTCCTTGCAGTCTCTAAGGCTTTCTCACAGTTTTAGGATTGAACAGGAGGCATCTGGTGCTCGAGTGAGGCTGTTGTGCCTTGAGTAACTAACTGAGGTGCAGTGCTAGTGTACTGCTTGATCTTGGGTTTGTATGATGGTACAGTGAGCTGTTCAGGGTGAATAAACATCGTGTGTGTGGAAATTTAGTTTAGCAATAGCTCACTTGCCTTAGCTCCAGGAGAATAAGCTGGTGGTTTTCTTGCTGTCCACGACTTCATTTCAGTGTTAGATGTTTGACTGTTGAGTGTTAATACTGTCAACTAGATTTGCACTTGAATGTTTAGGAATGATGCCCAATAGTGATGTGAGTTCATGGGTTGAAGTTGAATCTTTGATGGTCCATAAAAAGTGAATCAGAATGATTTTCAGCTGTGCTGATTGTTGGCTCCCCCACGACCATCCCAAACTAAAAAACTCTGGGTACTCACAGGACTAGACTGGGAACAGTGACATCAAACCTAAATCCTAGAGCCCTGAAAACATGGATGCTGTTATGCCAGGGATCCAATAAAAGAGATTTACTCTTCTATAAGTCTGGCCAAATTTATGTAACCTTAAGACTTCCAGCCAGGAGTCTGAATCCATTTCAATTCCTATTTGTATGAGTAGAGCTCAGACAGCCAAAGGCCTGAAATACAAAAAGAGCTTTCTTGTCCAACTATGCACAGCAGACTAGGCCTGGGAATACCCTCTGTGAAGATCTTGGGAATGTGTGTTTTGCTTCTCTTAGGAATTTGTCAAATCTGAAACGGGTGTGTAAGTAATTGACATCTATAGGAAGCCAAAATAACTCTCATGTCCTGTGTCCTAAAACAGAATTTCATGCCTTTCAGACTTGGCAGTGGAATTCAAACCTGTAGCTCCAGGATTCCTGGTCAGGGATTACAGAGAGGGACTAGTGGCTGGCAGATCTTGATGTTGAGCAAATACAGTTTGCATTAAGTAAACTCAGATCTTAAAATAAAATGTAGTGGGTTTTGAATGCAGGATTTTTGTGGTTTGAGTTTTAGCACAATTCTTCAACCTTTCAGAGAGAGATCAGGATAAATAAAAATGAATTTGCTTTCTTGAAAAATGCAGCGGTGTAGTAAAGCCATCATCTGTGCTGATGGTGTGTGGTGGTTTGTAGGCTGGGTCTGTGTAGACTGCTGTGCAGCCTGGGTGTTTAATCCCTCTAGAATAGAGGGACTCGTGTTCAGAAGTGTGGGATGCCTCTGAGCTTCCAGCAGCTTCACTGGGAGCTGCAGATTTTCATCACTGTGAAAAATCCTGGTTCGTGGCTGGAAGTTACTGCAGGTTCAGACATAAACAGGGAGTGTACTCCAGCCTCAGTGACAGGATAGAAGAGGATGGGCAGAAGCATTGTGTTAAGCAATGAGTTAGTGAATTAATTCCTGTTACGTGCCATTGAAAGGACTCTCTTAGATGGGCCTGTGGATGGGGAAACACCTGAGGAGCTAAATAGATGAATCAGTTGGTGTAAGCCACTTGCAGACAATCCATATTAACAGGTCAAGTCGAAACAGCAAGTGCTTGCCAGCTTTTGCAGGTGGTGTAACTTCTGCACTGTGTGAAGATAAGGGGATAGATGAAGCTGAGGTGGTAACACTCATTTTTGTTCTCGTTCTCCACTTTTGTACACGAGATGTGGCCTCGCACTGAAATAGCACCACAAACCAAATGCTGTAATAAGGAACTAAACCGTTCGGTATCCGAGGCTTTTTTATTTACAAAAGTCTAGGATACAGAGGTGAGATTTGTCCTACTTATCCCAAGGAAAAATTCAGGCCAGCTGACAGGATTTGTGTTTGCCAGTGCTAATGCTTGAGCCAAGTGTTACCCTTATTCCTGTGATCCTTCTGATGATTTTGTTGGTTTTTTGTTTGTTTCACAGTCACAGGCTCTGGGTGAGGATTCAGAATGGGAGACAAGCCTATCTGGGAGCAGATTGGGTCCAGCTTCATACAACATTACTACCAGCTTTTTGATGCAGACAGGACTCAATTAGGAGCAATATATGTAAGTATCCACAGAAAGGGGGCTGGGGTTCCATCCCATTGTCTTGTCTGTGTTTCTCTATTTTGATGTGTGAGAATACAAATGGTTGGATAGTGGGTTTTATTCTGACTCCAGAATGTCAGTCAGTGCAATCACACCCAACTTTTATTTATATTTTTTTTAATTTATGTTTCACTTCTCCTTTAAGCTTTGTTTGCCTTATAGGCAGTCAGACTCATAAAAACCCTCTTTGGCTGTAGACAGTGGCTTGTGTTGGAGGGGGTTGGTGATGATCCTGTGATGAAATGCTCTGTAAAAGCAAACATTCTAGCCTCATTTTGCCATTAATATACAGTCATGGATTTGCTTAGATCCCTCTTGCACTGGAATGTGATTTAAGTCCTAGCCTGTGTTTAGCAGTTCTTTCAGGTGTTTCTTGGATCTCATGCTCTATTAAGTCTTTAATCCAGTTTAAAAATGTATAATTCGTTAAATAAATCTAAATCTAATTTAAATTTCCTCAAAAATCAGTTTTTTTTATTTTTGCTTCTTATTTGGGACAAAGGAGATTTGGAATTAAAGACTGTAACTAGCAAATCCATGGAACATCACCTTTTGCTTTTGGAGGAAGATTCCTCCAGAGCATGCAGAGTGCTCTGTGTGTGGAGGTGATTACTGATGGTGAGGAATGCTGCTGGGTGGCTGAAGTGTTTCAGGAAGACACTCAAGTCTTACAAGTCTTCTAGTAGCATATCCTGTTTTTCTGACTGGTTTTTCATCTGCTGAATGAGTTGAGTTTCAGCAAGCTCTTCAGGATTCAAAGTGTTGAACACCCTCTGACACCTCTCCTTACACCTCAGCAGTATCCAGCAGCACTGATACCATTTGCTCTGGGCATTGTTGTGTTCTTGCCACCTGCCAGATTGCTGCTTTATTTTGCCTAAGAAGTTGTGTACAGAGCCTGTAAAGGAAGAAAACCAAGCAGCCTCTGTTAAAGCCACAGCTCTAAATATGAAGGCTCTTAGCAGTTTGTCATGTTGTTACCAAAATGCATTCAGTCTTCAGAAGACTGGTGGTAGGTACAGCTTAATTTAAATTCCTGGAGACATGTCCTTCCATGCTACAAACTCCTGGCCTTTTTTCAACCTTAGGGTCTTTCTGCCTTTCATGGAGAGACCTGTGCACATGTATTTGGGAGGACAGTTGTGGAGGTCACTGATGTGTATTGCTTTGTGGAGTTCCTAAACTATGGAGAGAGAATGGGACCCCATTCTGTGTGGCTAAAATGCACCAAGGTCACAGTTTGTCTAAATCTGGGGAGATTTTGCAGAATTGGGCTTTTAATGGTGAGCTTTTTGCCTTCAGACACGCTGTAGGAGCAAATAAATTTTGTAGCATACAGGAATGCAGCAGGGAGCTCTTGGATTTGGTTTGTATTCCTGTATTACTACTTCCATCACAAGATTCAGCTTATTTTTAGTGGTGTAATCCAAGTCAATCAAGCTTTTGTCACCTATCCCAGGCAGGGATGTGGCCAGTCACTTTTGCTGTGAATTGAGTTAGGTGAGTTGGAATTCCACCCTTGTGGTGCAACTCATTTAGTCAGTTTTCTTCATATATTTTTCTCTTTCCACATGCTTGACTTTGTGTTCATAGGATTTTTTTTTTTTGTATCCTTTGGATTTTCTTCTAAAAGCTAACTTTGATCCAAAGGCAGGAACTTTTTTGCAGGTAGGATCATGATAATGAAATGTAGTCTATTTAGTTTCTAGTTGATTGTTCCAAACTTTTTCAATTGCTCTTGGTGGTTTCTTTCTGTCTCCCTCTGAGGTAGTTTTCAAATAGCTGGATTCCAAGGATACATCCTAAATAAACAAAGCCTCTTACCAGGATTGCTTGAGAGTTAACCTGAGCAGGTTGATGACTTTCTTTCTTTCCCCCCCAGATTGATGCATCATGCCTTACGTGGGAAGGACAGCAGTTCCAGGGCAAAGCAGCCATTGTTGAAAAACTCACTGTAAGTCTGTGAACCTTAACTGAATGTTTTGGGAAACAGTTCTGAAGACTATAAGATAATGGCTTCTGAAAATTTGAGTTAGTCTTGAATATGGAACTTGTGCTTCCAACTTTGGTCTTCCAAAAAATGTTGTGAATGAATGCTACGTAGTGGGGTGTTCCATTGGTGACTCTGATGGTGGAGTGTTAATTGACTCCATAGTTTGCAAGGTTATTTTGTGACTGCAATTGTATTTGACATTACTGATTTATTCTTTTTTAAAAGGTCTAATGCATAAGCTGCCTCTGATCTAGAGGAATGAAAGGTGTCTTTGCTCTTTTAAGGCATGCCAAGGAAGAAGCAGTAGCAAGCCTGTTACTTGGATCTGTCTGTGATAAAGACTAGACACATAACTGCAAGGAACAACTTGTTTTCTGATACGTAAACTGCAAATAAGTTCTGTAGTGGAGAAGCTGACTTATCCTCAATGCAGATTTGTCAGCAGTTCAGATATGAGCAGGTATGGTTCAGGACTTTGCAACATGTGTTTCCTCTTCAGCAAGTGAGAGGACACTGGAACTCCATGTTCATTTAGTTAAACTTGGAGAAGTTTTATCTTCCTGAGTAAATTCATGCTTCTGTTATAAAACTGGGTGTACTTACAAGCTGTCATGAGACTAGGAAGTTTGTTTCTCTTTCAAGATACCTGAAGGACATGCTTTTTAGGTCATCAGACAGTCTGCTCAGGGCATGGTATTTCAGACAGACTTACTCAACACTGAGAAGAAAAATCAGAGTAACTTGACACTTGTCTTGTTGCACAGCTACTGCTCCTGTCTTATGGAATCACTCCTTTCATCCAAGGCTTCTTTAACTGTGAAGACCAAGGTTTGACCTCAGGTCTGTGTTTTAGGTGCCTGTCTTGCCTTTGAGAAGGCCACACACCTCAGAAATAGCACAGCTTGCAACTGCTCGCTTGTAGGTGAGGAGATACTCAAGCTCCAGAGTTGTTTGTTTGCGTACTCAGTGTTCTTTAGACTTCTGGGCTAGCAGCCATTTAGATACCCAAGCAGCTAAGCATTTGCTTGGCCACAGTGTCTGACTGCTGCTGCCTTGGATCCAGCCCAGTGCAGATCCAGCCCCTTTCCCACCACGGCATTGCTCATCTTTACCTTCCCTGTCTGTGGTGCAAGTTGGACTTTCTGGATTTATGTGCCTGCCGCAGTCTTAACTGCTGAGTGAAGACACACTGCTTTGCTTTAGGGAAACTTTTTCTGACCTGTATTCATCTGCTTAAAGTAAGGAAGAAGTGCAGTGAAGTTACTGTGCCCTTCCCCTGCCACAGCTCGTTATGGGGCTGTATCAACTTACTGTGACTGATGTCGCCCACCATTCCTCTGCCAGCACTGAGCTGCCTGGGCTTCCTTTGCTGTTTCAGCTTCATTTGCTCACCTACTCTGTGCTTCTGGAACTGCTTAGTCAGTTGAGCAGATCCCTGGAAGTGTGACACTGAAATTCTTTTGCTTTCTGCAGTCCTGTGTCCCTCAGGGCCTGGCTGGTGAATCGATGTAAGCCACAAACAGGTGGCATTTTCTTTTGCATCAAATTCTTTGCTGTGTAACAGCAATGCTATGGCACCTTTTCAGTACTAATACAGGAGGGGAGGGTTGTGTGGGCATTGCTCTGCCAGCACTGGCACACCTGTACCTTGTTTCACTGTGGGAGGTGACACTTGTTCCTTGTGTCCTAACTGGTGCTGGGCTTGTTTCACTTACAGTGCCTGTGGTAATTATGGGCAGCTTGATTTACCATTTGAGATAATAATGAACATACTGGACCAGGGAAGAAGCTGAGACAGGTAGCCTTGTTGCCAGGAGTGAGTTTATGCTACTCAACTTTATTCTTGCATAATTTCTCTTGTGTGACTTCAAGGATAATTTCATAGTTTTGCTAGTGAGAGCCCAGTCAAATTCTAGTGTCAGAGGATGCTAAAAGCCTTGGTTGTTGTGTGACTTCATGTTTTTTAGACGTGTTTATTGTACTTTTCATATCACAAAATCCTCCTCTCCAGTGTAGATGGATGTCCATAAGCAACCATCCTTTTGAGATACCCTCTGCTTATCCTAAAAATTAGTGAATTTTCCTGTCAGCTACTTTCCTACTCTTTCCAGTGGGATTTCCCCCAGCACATCATGAGTAGCTCACTAGCCTGGCCAGCTGCTTGGGGTCCTTTTCTCTGAAGGGAACAGTAATAGCATTATTAAGGCTGTAAAAGACCTTGAACTGAACACCACCTTGTAAATAAACCACAGCACTAAGTCCCATGTCCAGTTGTTTCTTGAACACTTCTAGGGATGGTGGCTCCATCACTTCCCTGGGCAGCCCATTCCAATGCTTAACCACCCCTTCAGTGAAGAAATTCTTCCTGATGTCCAACCTGAACCTCCCCTTGTGCAGCTTAAGGCTGTTTCCTCTTGTCCTTTGGAACTGGATGCTTGAAACAGGCACTATCTTACCCAGCCTGGTCTTTGGTTCCTTGTCACAGTTTTGCAGAGCTCTTGCTTCCAAAGGCTTTCCTTCCTCCCTGTTTTCTCTCCCCATCTTGCCTCTCTTGTCACACTGAGAGCTGGGTTCTGGACACAATTACATTCATTCCTCTTCATCCCTCTGCCTTTTAAAGGGGCTCTTTTTCAGGACTTGTTCAACAAGAAGTTGCTGTGCTGAGGTGGGACTGGGCTTTGTAGTACTCTTGTATAAGGAAGATGGTGCAATGTCCCAGGCTATGCTTGTGCAGGCTGTGTGGGCACATTGCACATTCAGTTTTGGGATGGTGACCCTGGAAAATAGTCTGCTGGTCATCAGTAGATAAGACTGCTCTGGATTTTTTTTTTTTGGTTGTTACTAAATGTCTGTCCCATATTACAAACCAGTTGGCCCACTTTGCACTTCCTAGTTGGTTGGGATTGTACTCCCAGGCAGGCAGAGACACCACAAGCTTTAATAAAGGGTGCTCTTGAACAGTGAGGGTACACTTGAACAGTGCTCTGTACACTTCATTTGCTTCTTCAGGCCCTGATCCCTCCACAATTTCTGTGTTCTCTATTATCCAAAGATTTAGCTTCCTGGAATTCTTCGTAGAGCCAAGACTGTACTTCACATCTGTGACAGTCTCTACCTCGGCCTTCTAGGAAGTCTTTGAGGCTCCTTCCACTAGAGGGAAATGGAGAACTTGTCAAAGTACACGTCTGGGTCTGCTTTGACCTGTTTTTAAATCAGGGGAATGCAGCAAAGGCATCCCAAGTGCCACCTGAGGTTTGAATGACCATGTGCTGCCATCCTGTGCAGTGCCTGGGCTCTGGGCATCAGCCACATGGTCACCCAGAGCCCCATCCACGCTGAACTGCCACTAAAGCATCTGGCAGTAAAGCAGCTTTTGGGAGAGCAGTGCCAAAGTTGCATTTGTGTGGCAGGACTCTGAGACCCCCCCAGATATTTGCTGTTCACTGCTTAGAATTGTCCATGGTTGGAGTGTGGACGTGGTCTGTGTGTCCACAAGATGTGTTCCTTGCACACATAACTCCAGACATACTGACATTGGCTACCTGAGCATCAAGGAAATTAGAAAGGGGAAAGGTGAATTGTGGATTTCAAGTCTGGAATACTGGTTCTGGGTTGTCCACTTTTCCTTTCCATTCATAGCCACTTTAACAAAGAAGCAAATTCGGAGTTCTCTGGTAAATCTCAAGTATTAGATAATAAAATCTTTTAACACTGTTCAGAGCAGAGGTTTGTGCCTTCATCATATGAACTTTGAGCTTACAGCTGATCTGAAGCCCCTCAGGCAGTGCAATTAGAGGAGGAAAAGGTTCCATTTACAATGTGTGGTAACATTATTTCCTCTCTTGGTGCTTGAAAAACACAACTGTTACAATTGACCCAGCATAAGTAGCGCCCTCATTTGCAACAACTCTCTGTGCAGTACTACTGCAATAGTCTTAACACTTCCTAACGTTGAGTTTGCTCAATCTTTGTTTTGTAAGTTAAATCACGCAATCACTGTACATTTCCTTATTTTGATTTCTTTTCATTGCAGAGCCTCCCTTTCCAAAAAATACAACACAGCATCACAGCACAAGACCACCAGCCTACACCTGACAGCTGTATACTCAGTATGGTAGTGGGACAGCTTAAGGTAAACTCTTTCCATTACAGGCTAACAAGTGCTTATGTCTTAGATTTTTGCAGGATTCTAAATCATCTGATTTCTGAAAACATTAAAATGCTCTTTTGGTTGGGAAGGAAGATGGGTAAGTTTTCATTGGGACACCATTCTTCTGCTGTTCAAGACTGTCAAGAAACGGTTCATCCCTCCAGATATCTCGCACTAGATGAACCACCTGCAATTTGACAGTCACATGTTCTGTCCAGCAAAGTGCCATGACTTCTACTGTGCTTACAGATACCATGGGGGTTATAGAGGCATCATTATTTCTCTTACCCTGATGCAGTAAGGTTTCAGTGCCCTCTGTTGCATTTAAAACCATCATCAGAGTGTTCTTGGATGGTATAAGCACATACAGTTTACCATGCTCTTTGTTGTAACGTTTGCATCGAGCTCTGATTTAGCAGACTTCAGTTGTTAGCTGACCCCCCTTCAGTGAGTCCATACTTCCTCTTTGCTGTCACAGGATGCAAGAATTCGGTCCTGGTGTTAATGCAGTCCAGTACCTCTGTTGTCAAAACTGATTCAGCAGTGGGAATGCTACCTCTCAGATCAAACACTTAGTGTTGTGACAGATTCCTTGTGTGAAGAATCAGATTATTTTTCAGGCTGCAGGATGACTGTATTGCTATGTGAGTGATACTACTGAGCTGTGTAAACTTACCCTGTCTCCCAGTATACCAGGGCCACAAATTAATTAAACTGCTTATTAATGAAAGATATTATCCTGGAATCTGCAAAAAAAAAAAACATCCTGTGTGTAAAGTCAGCTGTAGACAAAACTTGCTCAGGGTGAGTGGTGTTTGTTTAAAATCTTGAAATTACATGGCAGTAGTTAAAATCATCAGAGTTAGTTTGGTCCAGCCATGCTGTGAAGTCAGGCCTCTCACACCATCCAGTCTTTAGAGTTACCTGAACCCAGTTTGTTTTAAAAGAGCTGTTTAGATTTCCTTTTCCTGTTAGCTCTGAATGACACCTCCAGTGTCAAGGCATTCAAACTCCCACGGACACTGTACTATTTACTAAGCAAATGTAGAACTTAGTTTGAATCTGCTTGCTTAGCTGTTCTCTTTGTTTTGGGCTGGGCAGTTGAGAAGAGCAGTGGCCAGTGTATTGCATCCACTTTTAAACCTAACATAGGCAGCTTTGGCTCTCATTAAAGTTGCTCCTGCTTCCCAGCTGCAATTTAGGTTCCAGCTTTCCTGTTGTTCAGTCCCACATGCACACCCAGAGGAAAGACAGACACATGTGACCATGAAAATCACTGAATGGCAGGGCAAGTATGCAGGCACACATGCTGATCTCAACTTTGCTCTTGTGTGTGCACACAACTCTGATATGACCAAGGCTTTTTGACCCAATGTCTTGGGCCAGTCTCATCTGCACCTGGTTTTGCACAGTCATGTTTTTAAGGTTCTTCCATAATCATCAAGCAGATCACAGCTTGCAACAGTGATTGGTGTTGAATCTTGTGGCAAGATACCAAGTTCTTTAAGATTTTGTAAAGCTATTGGCTTTTCTCATCCATTAATACAGAGGGATTGTAAATGCAGTCCAGGAGCTTTCCATAAATACCATGAGTTGGAGTAGTATTTCCTAATGTACCATTTTTATCCTCTGAATAATTTCAGCTTGCTGAAATTACTCAGAATAATTTAGGGATCATGTGTTAGTGTATCTAGGTATTTGAAAAGAACATACTGGCTTGAAGTATGCCTGTTGCCATGATGAAACCCAACTTGTTTGTGAATTTTTAGTAAAAGAGGAAACATTTTTCTGCCCTTCACATGCCTGTGTCTCAAACCTTAGCTTAAAAAATCACATCATAATCCCTGGGAATGCTGCTTCTCACTGAACAAGTGTCCAGAAAGTCAAAGTGAACCTGGAACTGTAACTTCATGCTTCTGCCTTGTGTGAGGCTTATACAGGTGGACAAATGAAAGATCAGTACCAGTCTGTAGCCTGATGTGAACATGAACCTGCCAGCACTTGAACCTGGTTGTCAGATGGAGTGAATACTTCTTCTGGTGTGAACTCATACATGTTGACAGTCACTTCAGTGCTGGGCTGTGTACAGTACAGTGACTGAGAGCAACCAGATTCAGCTTTGTACATTTTAACAAGTGGCTCATCTGTAGCTCCAGTTGAGCAGACTTTAACATGCAAATGTGGAGCTGCACACTTGGTGTTATTTAAAGCTGCCTTCTTAATGGTGTTGCTGCTCAGCCCACATCTGTTGGCCTGTAAGAAAACTGTAGAGAATTTTGCACAAGGTAGGGCACTTTCAAGACCATCAGTAGCAAAGTTTAAAGGGAAAAGCCATGCTTCCTGCTTACTATTCAGTTATCCTTTTCATGGAACTGTGAGCCAAATTCTTCAAAGTCCAGGACAATTAATGCACATGCTTTTAATCCCCTGCAGTTTTTCAAAACTTGCATTTTTTCATGTAATGAAGGAGCATACATAATGCTTTTAATAGAGTAACCCAAGAAAATAATAGTGCTGAAATACCTGTAACATGCCCTTTCTAAGTTGTCATTCCTGGCATGATATGTAAATGGATTTTCTGAGGCATTAGTTGCTTGAATTGCTGGTAGTCCCAAAAGTTCAGTGGAAACATCATTCATCCTGAGAAAGCTGGGCACATCTTGTATTTCTTTCTTAAACCATTGGAGAGGGGGAAATAAACCAAAGCACAAAAAACTTTCACTGTAAAAACATGTTTCTAAGTAAACATATGAAAGATCCTCTTTTAGTGGTTGCTGAGATAGGTGTTAGTGTCTGGGGGGGGTTTTTTATCCTTTTGAAGAGGTATAATAAATATACATCCAAATATACATCCACTTATTCTAATCCTGTTGTTTTTTATTGCTGTTCATTGTCTGGGGGCTGCTTGCTTGCTTCAACTAGGAGGAGTAAGGATGGGTTTAAGCCTTTAGGAGTGAGTTCCATTTGGTGTGACACTGCTTTGCTGATGTTCCTCCAGAATGTCACCCCGTACCTCCACTGTGCTTCACCTCGTAACATATTTCTCCTGTCGCGCTCAGGCAGATGATGACCAGGTTCTAGGCTTCCACCAAACCTTTTTGTTGAAAAATTTTCAAGGTGCCTGGGTGTGCACCAACGAAGTCTTCAGGCTATCCCTCCACAACGTTTAACCCTCTGCCTTACCTGTCTTCCATGCAGTCCTCGCTGTCCTGGTTGAGTAAGGAGTGCTCTCTTCTCGCCCTTCTGTCCCTTGAGCTCGGCTGAGGAGCATGGCTGTGGCTTGGCATTCTCTGAGCCAGTGTGGCAGACCTGTGGCTCTCCCCAGAGTGTGAATTTTGAAGTGATTGGTGCAGAATTAATTGTGAATAACTAATTGTTATGCGGTGTTTCCTAGTCTTAAAAGGAAAAGGAAATTTGCAATTAAAATCACTGGATGTTTTTGTAATGCATGCTGAATACTTAAAGCATTGCTTAAAGCCTGTTAAATGAGGCTTAACATGTGAAAGAACCTGCAATCTGAAGTAATTAGCCTTTCCTTTGAGGTGAGGGTTGTTGCAACACTGCAGTTCAATCCCCAGTTGCTGGGGATGCTGGTGAAGGAGTAAAACTGTCTCTGACCAGACAAGAGGAGGAAAGTTGTGCAGCTACATTTGGATTGCAGAGCAGTCTTGCATCTAAAACTCTGACGTGACCTATGGCTCTGTGAGCTGAGGACTTTCTTTTGAGCCTCCAGGTCAGAAGGGATGTAGAAAAACTGGAAGAGGTCAAAAAGCTGCCAAAATTGTAGGTGTTGAAGAGCTTGTGGAGCTGGGAGAGGAGGTGGCTATGAGTAATTGGCCTGAAATGTGGGTGGAAAATAGTTGAATACTTCTAACAACCTGAGAGCAAACTCTTCATGGTGGTGCCAGATGATGGAACAAGGGACAGTGGTTAGAAACCACAACTTGGGAGATACGGATTGGGCACAAGGGAAGATTTCTGATAGTCCAAATTTTGGGAATGGTCTATAAAATATTTACCCTATCTTAAATATAGTCTAGGATTTTCCTTGTTTTTCAAGTATACTGCTCTTCTGTGCTGTGAAGACATAACATGAAAGGAATAAAGAAAACAATAATGTGTGGCTTCATTTTGGGAATTTACCATCTGTACCACAGCAGGTGTTTTGGGAAAGAATTCCCTTTTAATCTTTTTTTCATGTGTCTGGTCCTGAATTGCTTAAGAAAGGAGGAAATTTTCCTCAAGCCAAAGTACCAAGAGCTGCAGTGCTTTTGCCAGAGCCTACCTAGGCTTGTCAGAAATTGAGGAAACCTGCACTAAGCCAGGCTGGTGGTGGTATTTTTTTTCCATAGGTATATTTTAAAACCTACTCATGTCAGTAATGACAAGCTCCAATTTGGTGTGAAAACTGCTTGTAATAGATGTCTCAGTGATCCACAGTGAAGAGACCACAGGGCAACTGAGGGCTGAGAACCTGCCAACTCCAAGCAGCAGTGAGGCTGTACTGGGGATGTGCTACATTTGATACCTGGCAGAAGGTGCCAAAGGCACAAACCCCCAGGTTTCAGGGCACAGGCCACCTCTGCAGCACTGACCCCGAGCCTCTCTTCTGGGCACATGTGGCAAGGATAATACTTCCCTTGAAATAATTGGCACGACTGCTGCTGTAGGTGCTAATCAACTAGATGGGCTGGGCTAATCCAGCCTAATTGCTTGTGTGCACACTGGGCTCCTTACTCATGCTCAGGGGGGTGTGTGCTGAGGAGCCAAGCTGCCTGGTTCTTCTGCTGGCACTTGTCTTGCTTGAAGGATTTTTCTTTCATTCATTCATCTCTTGAACACTGACTTGCTCATATTTCTGGCCTTACTTGTTGCCTTCTTAACTTCTGGCTGTACTAGTTTCCTTCATGGTTTTATAGTAATTTTTTTGCCTTGCCCAGCTGATGCCAGTGCTGATTACATTTTTGCAAGCTACAGGGTTGTACTCAATTTACTTTCTTCAGTAGGAAGCTGTCTGGTAGCTGGATCATTTTTCTTGTCCTTTTCTGACATTTTAATTTTTTTTAAAGATAAGAAATGCATGTTTGATATGTGGGTGTTGGTTCTCTGTTCCTTCCCTAATAGCTGCTAACCCTGTGCTTACCTCAGTAGCTTTTGGGCACTCAGCTGGTTTAATAAATAAATATCCATCGTTATTTCAGTGTCACTTTCCTGAGGGGTGAACCTAGGGCCCTTTTTGGTTTTCCTCTGTGAATTAGCATACACTTACTGAAACTGCCTTTCATCTATGCCATTTAAATTCCTGGGCAGTTGTCACTGAAATCCTTGCAGTGATTTTTGGATCTGAATGCTTCTTTTCCATGCACTTGAACCCACCACTTCTCTGGCAAACTTGCTGTTCTGTGATATGACTCTTGTCCTTTGCAAGTTGCTCCTCAAAGCCGACTTGTTTCACAGTCCATTTATCACTTAAGCGAATATTACTTCTTTTTTAGTAAAATTCCTTTTTTATTTTGTAGTCTGCTTTGCTCTTCACATTTCCACTTGCTGTTCTTGACAGCCTATTTCAGGTGCTGCTCTGGCTGCTGCTTGTCAAGGCTCTTTTTTATGCATTTCCCCCCTTTTCTGAAGCTGAATAGTCATGTGTTGAAAGAATAAAGCTTAAAATCCTCCAAAAATGCTGAATTGAACACGCTGCAGCCAGTATCAGAAGATTGTTTTGTAGCCTGGTCCTGTGCACTGTTCAGATTAAATCCCTTTGTGTGATTTCCAGCTGACTGATTTGGGAATCACTTGTGTTGAGGATTTAATTCCTGCATGACGCCTCTGAGAAGACTGGTAAATAAATACTAGGTGGGAGAACTGATCTCCCTCTAATACTATTTTCTGCTTTTGTAGTAATATTGTAAATGTCCAGGTACTACACTGCAGTGCCCAGACATGTCAGAGGCAGGAGTGGAGGCACTGCTGCAGAGATTCCCTGTGCTTGGAACACATGGTTGCAGCTCTGGCAAATATTTTGCTCCCTTCCAGCTGTTCCTAGACAGCAGAAGCGGGATGGACTGGGTTGCTGGCCAGCTGTACCTGCTGTGGGAATGCTTTCAAAGCCCAGAGCATTATCTGGCTCATTCAGGCAATGCCATTGATACCAACTTCTACAGAAACTTCCTTCTGTCATCAACCCAAATGCAGCAGATAAAAACTGAACCAGCTTGTTTCCTGGGCAAGGCATTTGTGATTTAACACTGAGGGAGGCATGTTCTGTCAGTGTGGTGAAGCCACAGAGTGACATGTCTGCAGGTCTTCCAGGAAGCCCCAAATTCGGGTGTTGATTTCTGTGTCACTGGGCGCTGGGTGTTTGTCTGCAAAGCCCCTTGGAACAGGCCCTGGTGGCATTAGTGACTCCTGAGGTTCTACATCTCTTACAGCATGTGCCGTCACTTAATGTCAGCTTTAAGTCATCTTGTCATGAGTTTTGGAATAAATTTCTCAAAAAAAGAGTGTTTTGACCTTTTTTTTTTTTCCCCCCCCTTCTCTTTCCACAGGCTGATGAAGATCCTATCATGGGGTTCCACCAGATATTTCTATTAAAGAACATCAACGATGCCTGGGTTTGCACCAATGACATGTTCAGGCTAGCATTGCACAACTTCGGCTGAGCTGCCCAGCCCGAGGCTCCCGTGCTTTTTTTTTTGTTTTGTTTTGTTTTCGTTTTCCTCCTCTCCTCCTAACTGGTATTATTCACACTCACGGAACATTCCAAA